AGCCAGCCAAATCTTCGGTAGCGGTGATTGGTAAGATGCCTACGGGAAACTCGTCCGAAATCGATTTACAAGTCACTGAGAACGGAGGCTTTTTCTTCGCAGGATTTTGACCGTTTCACTCCGTTCTTTCGCCATTTCCCCACTATACAGCGCCCTACTAGCATTTTAGGCTAAGTAGGAAACCATCGTGCCAACTGCCTTCAAATCAAGTAATAAGTAGCACCACGAAATGTACCTACTATTCTATGTGACAGATGTGGCAAAATTGCGTGTGGACAAAACTACCATTGCGAAAACTATAAGACGATAGATCAAAGGCTGATTTTTCCTGCAACGGCTCACAGATAAAATGCCGTCACATGGGTTACGTTCACGTCGTCAGATTTTCTCGTTGTAAGTTGAAAGATCTGCAAACGAAATGAGTGTCGGATACCGTTACACGAGATCGGAGATACATCGTCTTAAGATTTCATTACATTTTTCGTTGGAATTAGGTCGGGCAGTATTGTCTAAAGTATTCCTTGGATAATCCAATGTTTCTAGACAGAGAATGGTGGAAGAGCAGTTCTGAAGTTTAATAAAGTCAGGTTGGGTGTCTTTAGTCACCTTTAATCTTCGAGGTGGTATTGAAAAATACTGGATGACGAGTTGTTTAGTGGAAGTACGTTCAATTTTGAGAAACTGAAAAAAGGAAAGAATTTCAAGAAGTTCAAGAAACGAAGTTTCCATTCAAGGGTGCGTTTTTGGCTGTTTAGTGTTTCCTGCAATGAAATCCGGCGGAGACTCGGTTTCGCAGGCGATTGCGGCCCAAATCACGGTTCTCTCAGCAGTCCTTGAGGAAATTTTTTGCTTTTAGCTTCTGCAGAGGCAGCGTGCATGCTTTCTTTTTCGGAATGACTAGACTCATGTTCAATGAAATCTAAATTTGATTTTTTTTTGTGAGGAGCGAATCGGTAGTAGTTGGTGCTTGGGGAAGTCAATCGGAGGACTGAGATCCTCGGATCGCATGAAGACAGCCTTCACACTTTTCCCTTTCCGAGAGTGTCTTTCATAGCTCGTGGTTCATATATAGAGAGAAATTGAGGTTGTGCGATCCTCAAGCTTGTGCAATGGAAGAGTGGCTGTTTGGTGAGAGTGAGAGATGACCTTTTCAAATGTAGAAGAAGCTGGGAAGTTTGGCTTATACCAGCGATGATACGAGTATTATACAACAGCTTCATAGCCGACTGCGAGAAGATAAATGTAAAATTGTAGAATGATAAAGTGGAAAATCGAACGTTTCGATATTGCCTCCTGCATTGTATTTCGAATTCGTGATTTCTCAGTGACAGACAATTACAGTCCTCATCATTGCGGACCGGTGGGGCGTGTCAGCCAGTATGAGTGTGCACACTGTTGAAGCCGTTCTCAGCCTTTTTGTTGAAACGCGTATGCGACAAAAAGTGGTAGAAAACGAGTAATACGAAGGATATAATACAGTAATGTCACTTGCCCGCTTCAACAACTGGTGCAGAACGACTTTGGCACCGCGCCAGCCGCACTGACACGCCCCACCGGTCCGCAATGATGAGGACTATATTACAGTTTCTCAGTTATTACAGAGCTGTACTTTGAGACAGTTATCACAGTTTCTCAAATTATTACAGAGCTGAACTTTGCAACATATCTTCCCTGTTTTCAATTTTACTTTGCAATGACAGTAAGTGCACCCCTTATCTTAGAGAAGCAATAGGCGTGGCACTTGAACATGGCATAGATGGGTTACTCGTGGAATATCTCGTTTGAGACAATTGTCATCTTGTTCTATGTTGGGCAGAGACTTGATCACAATTGTCCAGAAATGAAAATATTGTCCAGAAATGAAAATATCTCATGAAAACCTTGGCCGCCTTCACGTTCACTTCACGTGCGCGGCCACGCCTACCGCATCTCAGGGATCTTGATTGTAGTTCAACGGTGACTCAACATTGACTCTGTACATAGAAACGGTGCTCTCACACTTTGCTGAGCTTTGTCTGAGTTTGGATTTAAGCCAGACTCTCACGTTTTCCGGGTTAGTGTGCCTCAAGTATAAGTATAGTTGCTGAGAACGCTTCTGATTCTGACTCAGGTCCTGGATGACAAGTGCGAAGCATTTATCGGCCGTGACCATCTGAGTAAGAAGCGTCCACGGCTTACACTCAGAGCACACTATCCGGGATACGTGAGGTCCTCTTTCAGGTGCTGACAGTTTTGAGGCAAAACGTCAATTCCATAGCTCAGTGACCTTGCGAAATTGGGGCCAGCAAAATACCGCAATAGCCGAAGCGAGACAGGGTAGTAACAACACTAACAGCACTGACCAAGAAACAGCTTTCTTTTTTCCAGAATCTTACCATGATCCGTCTACTGCTTCTGTCGCTTATCGTGGGGACTGCAGTCGCGGTGCCGACTGCGAAGATGTGTGCAAAGTTCGCGAAGTTTGTGGAGCCGTGGAACCCGTTGCCAGAGACCTTGCTTTCGTGGTCAAAGTCGAAGAAAAACTGTGATAAAATTCAGCCGCGGCCGCGTGAGATGACATGCGAGGACATCCAACGAGTGAGAGTCATTTCTTTTACTATATGTAGTTATATGCTTCCAACCTTCTAAAAAAAGGGGAGAGTCACTGGTTGTTGGTAGAGATACGCCATACGTTTACCTGTGAAATGGATCCTTGCAAGATGAACAGGCTCGCAACTGCAGAAGTGCGACACCTTCACCGCTCCAAAATGCGCTAAGAAGCTATTGGCTTGCTGTTGCTGAGTGCCGTTTTGGACGTTTCTCGCTATCCTGGAAACGTGGCCTTTGCGCCGAGCTGAACCTCCACAGTGAACAGCACCAACGGCAAGCTGCCCGTCGCGCTTAACTGCAGAGAACAAGCAAACGCGAGAGGACGTAGACAAGTGGAGCGTTTGGCTATAGTTGCGCATATGTCCGGCTGTGCAGCACGTTGTGTCCGCTGGTCTGCCTGTGGTAGGAGTCCGAAACAACTCCAGCTACTTCTAACCTCCAGTCTCCCTTCGGCACACTAACGATTGACGAAGGTGGCTCACTTTGAAATACTGCCAGTTCCTTCACCTGCCAGATGGTAAGTGTAAGGATCCTCGAAGATGAGCGTACAGCATATCTGTAGTACTTGTATCAAGTCAATGGGCACTTTTCTAGGATGAGTAAGATCACATTTTCACTGCTGCGGCTTCTCCCAGCAAATTACTGAAGTAATGACATTAAGTTCATCGCCGACTGTAATTATGGCGAAGGAGGACCTGCAGCCGACAAGGGAGAAGTGCTACCAACGACGAATCGTGATCTCGTACAAAACTACTACCAGGTCAGCATTCAGTTCCTCCTGTTCTTCCAGTAAAAATCACTACTTGTTAGCCGTGACTTGTTATATCATAGGTTATATTATACGTCAAGGTGCATGGTGATTATCTATTGTGATGAGAAGCTTGAACGCATCTATTCCATAATACACTATTTTACAGAGTACCTACAGTAATTACCCAAGAGTACTTGGCAAATACATTTACTACAATGCAGCTACAGCTTCCGATTATGGACAGTTTGGAAACTGGTGAAAAGCTTTTCTACTACTGAGCACGTAAATACTAATATGCTTGCTTATTTTTTTCCAGGTACTACCCCAACTATTACCCTCCGACATACCTCGGTTATTATGATGGTCGAGAAGGAAGCATAGCTCAGTTGGAGAACGACTACAAATTTGCGAAGGGAGGGCATTATCCCTATAACAGGTAATTTCTTTGCGATATAGAACAAAGCGCCCAAATCTGGATAGGTTGCCAGTACGCTAAAGCTGTACGTTCACATCTCAGGATCATGATCAGTGCTGGAGGCGAGGAGAAAGGCTTTGCAGCTGGAAGCTATTAGGTTGTTGCATAAGTTCTTATACACGACTTTTTTGTAAATATCTCAAAAACGAACCAGCCTGGAGATTAGAGGTATGCACCATCACCATTCACTACTCGACGCCAGCGCTCAGGCAGCTTGTCGATTCCATCCTTCCAGAACGACGGAGGCTGGGACTTGAAGAAGTCGTCGAGCGCCTTTCTGACCTGATCCTTTGTTTCGAACTTTTTTCCGTCCAGATAGCGCTGCAGGTGGCTGAACAGCCAGTAGTCAGAAGGAGCGAGGTCAGGGCTGTAGGGAGGGTGGGCGACCATCAGCCATCCGTACTTCTCCAGCTCGGCCTGGGTCGCCTTTGCAGTGTGAGGTCGGGCGTTGTCATGGTGGAAGTAGATTTCCGCATTCCTTCCACGAGTACGGTCGACGTGATCTTTCAATGGGTCACGTATGTGGAAGCGTCAATCGTCTATCCCTTCTCCAGCAGCTCCCAGTACTTCATGCCTCCTCTGATTTCTCCTTTGTCGACCCACTGCCGCTTCCTCACAGGGTTATCGTAGAGGACCCACTTCTCATCTCCAGTGATCATCGAGTTGAGAAAGTGAAGCCTCTTTTGGAAAGTGAGGAGAGAAGTGCAGGTGGTCACCCTCCTCGAGAGGTCATAAGCGGACAGTTCATGTGGGACCCATCGACCAAGCTTTGCTACCTTGCCGAGCTTTTCTAGTCCACGTGCAACCGTCGAATGATCATAGCTAAGCATGGTCGCCATTTCTCTGGTGGTGAGGTACGGGTCCTCCTCCACGGTGGAACGTAGTACTTCCAAATCCAACTCCATCGGCCGACCCGACCTCGGAGCATCTTCGAGAGAAAAGTCTCCTTTCTTGAATTTGGCGAACCAATTCTTGCATGTCATGTAAGAGATGACGTCCTCACCGTATGTATCCACCAGCTTGGTATGGGCTTCCTTTGCATTCCAGCCGAAATCGTGGAGCAAAACCAAACAGTGGCGCAGGTACGTTTTGTCACAGTGCAAATTGTGCGACATTGTGTACTGCAAATGCAAGCTCGGTGAGTGATAGCTAGTGTAATGAAAGAGTATAATGTACACGTCACGCACACGTGATGACGTAATACCAACATCCATGCGAACGAAATAGGAGAGGATCAAACACGTGTATAAGAACTTATGCAACAACCTAATAGAAGCTAGAAGCTAGAAGTGTAGCACTTTGGTCACTCGATGGACGTAGGTTAATGACAGCTTGCATCGTTGTTGTGTCCACGCCCACAGGTAGAGAAG